GAAACAACCCACACTACATGTATACACTTGTAGCTGAGGTAGGAGGTATAGTTTAGATGCTGCTGCAGTTTGTATCTGGAATGTTTCCCAGAGGCTCAGATGTTCAACACAGTTCCTGGCTTGCACTGTTGGCAGGTGGTGGAAACTTTAAGAGGCAGGACCTAAGTTTTCCTTTAGCTTTGGGAGGGGTGATGGGACCCTAGGCCCTTCTCTTCCTTTCTTTTGGTTTTGGCCATGGGGTGAACAGTTCGCTCTAACACATGCTCCCCACTATGATGTACTATGCTGCCCCGGTCCAAAGCAATGGCCAGTTGGTCATGGATGGAAACCTTCAGACTGTAAACAACACAACAAAATAACAACAACAACAGCAACAAATAACTACCTACAAACTTGAGCACTGTCCCTCAGCTTTTTTGCTCAGGGATAGTCCTCTGTTGCTTGAACTACAGCTCCACTTGTGGCTTTTTGGTGGGTAATTGGAGATAAGATTCCTGGGAATTTTCCTGCTAAGTCTGGCTTTGAATCTCAATCCTCAGATCTCAGCCTCTTTAGTAGCAAGGATTACAGTGGTGAACCATTGGCACCTGGCTAAGGAGGTATTTTTATTGCATTTAGAGGTCAGTTTGTCATGGTGGGGAGGACTTGGTGGAACAGAGCAGTCAGGAAGCAGTCAGGAGAGGACCTGGGGACATGATATCCAGAAGAGCCACTGCAGTGACCTATTTCTGCCAGATAAGTCCCAAAATAGCGTCACTAAGCATGGTGAGGCTCAAACGTCTAAGTCCAACACAGGTACCTCTGTGAGGGACATTTCACATTTAAACCATAATGCCAGGAAGAGACTACGATCTTTACCTGATAAATGATTATTGGAGAAGGACTGAAATATAGTCAGAGATGTGGTTGCTAGAATTGTTAGCTTTATTTAGAATTAAAAACAGACCAAATTCCCAGCTTTCTTTGGTGTTGTTTCCATTCTCTTCACACAGTTTTTCTTTGGTGGTACTATTTGTCTCCCTCCCCCCTTTTCTGTCTTTTGCTGGGGAAGGATGAAAGTCATGGTTTTAGGGGGTGCTGGTGGCTCACCCCTGTAATCCTAGCTACTCAGGAAGTTCACTCACTCTTGCATAAGTTAAAAATTAAAAATCTAGAGAGACATTTGCCTTTAAGGATGTTGGATTATACTTGAATCCCAAATGTTTTGGTGTGCAGCCTCTTGGAGTGGAGTAGTTGTGGTTTTCTGAGAGTTCTGCTTTTGAAGTACTGTTATGTCTCCCTTAAGTGGTCTTTTCATGCAAGACAGTGATCACATAAGAATTGGGGCTGTATCCAGAATATGGAGCAGGCATCCTTGTCAAGAAATGTTAACGTGTGGAAGTTTTAAGTGTTGTTCAGTACTTCATCACTATTTAGCTGGGTGGGGTAGGGACAAAAGTAACACCCACCTTAGATCATTGGTGCTCACCAAAGAGTTACAAAAAGAATTTGGGACTTAGGTAAGACCAAGTTGGCCCCAGCTCATCATTTATGAATCCACAGTACCTGGCAGTCTTCTGAGATTTCTGTAGTCAGTATATTCTTTCCTGTTCCAAGTGCATCTTTCCAGCACTTAGTTTTTTTCCACCATCAGTGATCCCCCTCTCTGCTTCTATCAGAGGCTTTCCTGTCTCTTCATAGATTAAATAGAAACTTTGAAGGTTTAGACCCTTTAATCTCCCTAAATCCACAAAGTGATCTGCATTTATACCCATTCTTAGCATTCTCCTGCTATTCCAAAAAGGGTGCTCCAGATCCTACAACCCTGCTTTTTTTCTTTTAAAACCTAGCTGGTATTATATTTATATATATATAAAAGATATTTATATATAATTATGTTATATATTTACATATTATATATTATATATTTATATATTATATGCCCTACTGTCCTGCATACCTGTTATTGCTTGTCAGAAACCTTTTACTGTGAAATATTCCATATCTCAGGTGTTTCAAACTTTTAACCTCATGTAGCTTCTCAAAGGCATCTCTTTAGTTTTTTTTTCCCCTTCTAAGTTAATAATAGAAACAGAACAAACCCAAATCATATCTCTGTTATCGCTCTGCCTCTCCTGGCCTTTATATTCACTTATCAGTAGTCCCTATCTAAACCACACAATACCTACCTTTGTTTCTTCCTTTACTACTGTATATCACAGTCCTTTCTTTGTGATTGGGTATCTGCCAGACGTGTAGACCTGCCTTTTACAGAGGGTTTGCTAAAGACTTGGTGCCTGATGCCCCTCTTTTCTTCCTTACTTTTCTTTGATTCTTCTACAAGGACTCTGCCTATGAGAATACAGTTCTGGCTCGGTTGTTTTGTTTGTGGGTGATGGTCCTGGGACTTGAACTTAGAGTCCTGGGTGCTGTCCCTGAGCTTTTTTTTTTTTTCTCAAGGCACTACCACTTGAGCTACAGCTCTACTTCTGGCTTTTTGGTAGTTTATTAGAGATAAGAGTCTCACAGAGCCGGGTACTGGTGGCTCATGCCTGTAACCATAGCTACCCAGGAGGCTGAGATCTGAGGATCGAGGTTCAAAGCCAGTGTGGGAAGAAAGCCCGTGAGACTCTTTATCTCCAATAAACCACTAGAAAACTGGAAATGGCACTGTGGCCCAAGTGCTAAAGCACTATCTTTGAGCTGAAGAGCTGAGGGACGGTGCCCAGGCCCAGAGTTCAAGCCCCATGACCAACAACAACAACAAAAACAAAATGAGTCTCACAGACTTTTCTGCATGGGTTGGTTTTGAACTATGTTCCTCAGCCTCTTGAGTAGCTAGAATTACAGGCATGAGCCACTGGTACCCAGCATAATTCCTAGTTTACTCTATGAGAACATTTTTCTAGTTAAGCAAAAGAATGAAAAGTTAGATAAGCGATAACCATGTAAAAGTGTTGAAAAGATTGTAGTTATAGTATTGTTAAGATCCTTATGTTCTATTTTACTTTGATTTGTTTGTGATAGATTTTGGTCATCAAAATACATAGTGTGTATATGTAAGTGCTAATTTCTTATCTTCCATACAGCTGTCAGTTGCAGATACATAATGAAGACTGAAAAGATTTCATTTGGTATAGTTGAGTTTTTACCTCAAAGACTAGTAGCCACCCAAAAGACAGTTTTTCATAATTAATTGATTACAATTTATTAAATAAATTGTCATGTAAATAATAAGCTTTTAGCATATAACACTGTAGTAAGGAGATTGAAAAAAATTAAAACATAGTTTCTGGCTTTTAGAATCTTATGATTTGGTGGAATAAATAAATCATAAGGAAAATCATTCACAAAGCATGTAACAGGAGATTGTTGGGTAGCATGCAATTAAAAGGCACTATGTAAGACAATTAAGTTATATAAAATAACTATGTATTTAACTTTATTTTGTTTCATTATCCTCTCCCTTTTTGTTAGTATAAGAGTTTGAACTCAGGGCCCTGTGTGGCAGGTGTTCTATAGCTTGGGCCCTGCCCTCACCTTGACTTTGAATAATAACTATCCTTACTTACTTGGCTAACACATTCTTTATAAAGGATCATTAAATATTCAGTTTCTCCTGTATAGAAAACAAACTAAAATCCACAGCCATAATGACTAACCAAATTTGCTAATAATGGGATATGAAATGGACAGAGGATAGTAGAGGAGGCCATTCTGGTCTGCAGGCAGGGAGAACTTAAGGTTGGGAATAAGCCAGGCAAAGAGAAGTGGAAGAGAGAGCCTTCTTTTGAACACAAATATTTAAAAGCCTTTTGTAAGCATGGCTGCCTTTCTTTGCAATTGATGTTACTAAATGAATTAGAGTGTATATATTGAAGCATTTTATATTGAGGTAATTGATCTGTAAACTCCTTGGGTAAGTATTTTTTAGCTTTCAATGCACAATGTGTTTAATTAGAAAATATTTTTGGAATTGATGAAAAATTCTGAGCTTTCTAAAGACTACATTTCTTTTCTTTTTCTTTTAGGTCTCATTTAAACAAAATAGCTTTTCAAAATTAGTTCCAAGTCTGTGAATTAGAAACAAGTATACTTAAAAAAATTAAATCTTTTGGTTAGGGGATAAGTCATACATGTTCAGGTATATGTTTATACTCTACTCCTATATATCTGCTTTGTAAAATAATTACAATCGGATTGTGAATTCACTGAAGTGGAAAACTTAGGAAAAGCCAGTTCAAAAATAATACTAATCCCTTCATTTTAGAAGAATAGATTGATTTTAGAATTAAAAAACTTTATTCTCAATATTGGATGACTCCCTATACTCTGTTAAGCAAAAATAAATAGATTTAAAATGTTGTCAAGTGAGTAGTCTGAAAAATGGAGTATACATTACTGAATGCTGAATAGGTTTAGGACTTAATACACATATCAGTTCTTTTAGAAATAAATGCAAAATGGACAAAGCGTGAATGTGAGAGTATTTAAATGGTTCTCAAGATTTTCTGGTTCATGTGTTGTGATATTGAACTCTTTGGTCCTAGGCTTTAATTTGTGCCTGGTGCTGACCTGATGCTGTGCAGGGACACTCACTGCATCCCTCCATTCAGTCCCTAATTATCCCAACTTCCTGGGGAGCTTGCTTAGAACTGGGCATGAGTGCTTCTTATTAAAATATTGGGCTACCCTGGATACATGTAACACGGTAGTATTTGATATCAGCTTTATAGATGAACAAAATAAGAGATGAAGTTGTTTGCTGTGATTTTACTAAATGGGTGGAGGGTATTATGGAAATCATTTGGTTAGACAATGGATTATGCTTGTAATAAATGAAATCATTGGTAATCCAGTTCCTGTGCCTTTTTTGCATTGTTTTTTTAAATGCATATTCAAAAAAATATGACTATGATGGTATGTGAAATAATCAGATTTGCCGTTTTGTATGTATTTGTGGATGATCACAATTCTTTTTTGCTGAGAGCATCTGTTAATACGGGAATTTGTGTCTTCAGGTTCATGTGAAAATGGCCGATGAGGCCGTCTGTGTTGGCCCAGCTCCCACCAGTAAAAGCTACCTCAACATGGATGCCATCATGGAAGCCATTAAGAAAACCAGGGCCCAAGCTGTGAGTCTGAATGAACCTATCTACTGCAGCTGTTTCATATGTAGTGAGCAGAAAGCTAGAGTTTGTATTAAAAAAAATAAGAAAGAATGATTGAAAATGCTGTTGCAGTTAGTTCATGTCACATGAGTTAAATGTGGCTGAATTCGCTACTGGAAATCAAAGGCTTTGTAGCATCTGGCAGTCTTGGTCGCTGATCCTGCAGGTGGCTGCTGGATTCAGCTTTCACACCAGGGAGCAGTTTCAGTTCATTTCCAAATTTGCTAGGAAAAAAGAAGTCCCAATTAGTTTTGAGTATTAACTCTTTCAGTGTAATAAGAGAATTAAGAAGAAAACAATTCTGTGTTATAAACAGGATCCAAGAAACCCTGTTTAAATTCCGTTTTAATCATTTAAAAATTATGTACACATAGGTACATTGGAAGAAATAAAAGCAGTATATTTGCTAATTATTTTACTTTGTTAGTATCAATAAAATGCCCATACCTTACATTGATAAATCAAAAATTTTCCCCACCTCTAATCTGACTTGAATGCAGTAGACACACCTAGGAGAAAACTGTTTCTGACATCAGGAATAGTTCTTTTTTTAATTTTAATATCAGAGAACTAATTACATAGACTGTTGAAAACTATGTGGCATTATCTGTACAATTGGATGGAAGTAGACAACATTGGCAATTAGCCTGAATGTTTCTATTAGAATTGACATTTCTTTTGAAAGAATGTTTTTTAGTTATGTGTTTAAATAAAACTCTGAATTTATAAATTCATAGATGTTTACAGTTTATTAGCATAGTTAGTGGGAATGAAAATCTTATAACCTTTTAATTGTAGCTTGTTAGAATGCCATTTCTAGTTGAATGTGTTTATAAAATAAAATTGGTGGAATAAAATTCTTCCTATGGTGCAGTATTTAAAATTTTTCTGTAATATGTATATATAGTTATGTAGCTATTCCTAAGTTATGGTATTGGCTTCTTAAGAAATTTGACTTCCCTTTTAACAGACTTGTTTTAATAGAAATGTGTTTAATACTGATAGATATTAGAGTAGCTAAATTTATGTCTTGCTTTTGTTGTACAGTCAAAAATTACTTGATCAGAACAGAATGGCAGAATTTAGATTATAGTAATGTGGCTTGTAGTGGGCAGATAACATAATAGTTATGAATGATTAAATTTGTGAAAAGGGGAAAAATGGATAATAGAAGAAGAAAAATTAGGACTACAAAGTAAGAGTAAACCCAAATTCAAACCTCCATTCTAGTTTAGTTTGACAGAAAAGGCTTCTATGTTGGCTGAGTATCTTAGGCTATTAGGTGAGTTTTGGGAAATAGCAGTTTCTGGTACTGTAGTAAAAATATGGGAATTCAGAATTATTCATTCATCTTGCCAAAGGTTTTTGTAGTGTAATTCTTTGACCTACCAGCTACTGTGAAATTATCCAAACTTGTTGGTTAGAATTTTCCTCAAAAAAAGTAGCAGTGGGGAGTTTTGTGTTGAATAGTGTAGACAAATCAAGTATGGTGCTGATTATAGCTAGAAAAAAAGGAGCAATTTGATTTGTACCCAGGTATGGAAGTTAGAGCTGATCAGTAAGAGAGAGAAGGAATCTTATTTAAGGACTCAACCACTTAACAAAATACTGTACTGTACATATTTTATATAGATTTTGCAATATAAAATTAAAATATTTTGTTTGGATTTTTAAGGTGCATCCAGGTTATGGATTCCTTTCAGAAAACAAAGATTTTGCCAAACGTTTGGTAAGTTTAGAACAAAGTAGAAACTATTAACTAATTCTAGAAAGCAGTACAGTAAGGTAATTTCTTTTTCTCTTTCTTCCTTCTTTCTTTCTTTCTTTTCTTTCTTTCTTTCCTTCCTTCCTTTCTTTTTTTTTTTTTGTCGGTCGTGGGGCTTGAACTCTGGGCCTGGGTGCTGTCCCTCAGCAGCTCTTCAGCTCAAGGCGAGCGCTCTACCACTTGAGCTACAGCGCCACTTTCGGTTTTCTGGTGGTTTATTGGAGATAGGAGTCTCACGGTCTCTCCTGCCCAGGCTGGCTTTGAACCGCGATCCTCAGATCTCAGCCTCCTGAGTAGCTAGGATTACAGGCGTGAGCCACCAGCGCCCGGCTCTCTTTCTTTCTTTCTGTCTTTCTTTCTTTCTTTCCTTCCTTCCTTCCTTCCTTCCTTCCTTCCTTCCTTCCTTCCTTCCTTCCTTCCTTCTTTCTTTCTTTCCTCTCTCTCTCTCCTTCCTTCCTTCCTTCCTTCTTTCTTTCTTTCCTCTCTCTCTCCCTCCCTCCCTCCCTCTCTTTCTCTCTCTCTCTCTCTCTCTCTCTCTCTCTCTCTCGTGCAGGTCCTGGTGCTTAAACTCATGGCTTGGGTGCTACCCCTGAGCTTAGCATTCTACCCCTTAAGCCAGAGCTCTACTTTTTTTTTTTATTGTGAAAATACTGTACAGAGGGGTTACAATTACATGGGCAAGATAATGAGTACTTTTCTTATCAAGCATTGTAGCCTCCTCCTTTGTTTCCCCTTCTCATCCCTTCCCATCCTCCCCCTGCCTCCCCCACCCAATTCTCCCCGCCCCCCCACCAAAGTTGTAAAGTTCGTCATAGTAGTTATCATCATCTTCTTCTTTTTTTTGTAGTTTATTGGTGATAAGAATCTCATGGAATTTTCTGCCTAGGCTGGGTTTGAACTGTGATCTTCAGATTTCAGCTTGCTGAGTAGCTAGGTTTATAGGATGAGCTACTGGCTCCTATCTTGCAGTGAGTTTTTAAAAATATGAATAGTGACAAATAAAGAATTGTAACCAATTATATGAAAAGTGAAGTTGTTTATAATTACTTAAAGAGTAATTATAAAAATGGGAGGGTTATAAAGTTTTAAAATAATACTTAGAATAATTATAAAAAATGGAAAAGTTAATTACCATTATACCTAGCTTATTATATATTGCATGGTCTTTAAAAATCATAAACCTGAGTTGGTTTTGGTTTTTTTTTTTTCTTTTTTGGTCAGTCATGGGACTTGAACTCTGGGCCTAGTCGCTGTTCCTCAGCTCTTCAGCTCAAGGCTAGTGCTCTACCACTTGAGCTACAGCACCACTTCCAGTTTTCTGGTGGTTAGTTGGAGATAAGAGTCTCATGGACTTTCCTGCTCGGGTTGGCTTTGAACTGTGATCCTCACATCTCAGCCTTCTGAGTAGCTAGGATTACAGGCATGAGCTACCAGTGCCTAGCAAAACTTGAGATTTTTAAATATACATGTAACATTGTATGGTGATAGTGATTTAATTATGATTATGGAAAATGAAGTTGGAAGTAAGATTCTACTTTTCTCCTTTTGTTATAAATTTGTAAGATAAAATTTTACTGCTTCTATTTTGGCAAAAGTAGCCTGTATTGCTATTGAACTGATTTTAAAGTGTATTTAAACTAAGTTTAAGAAAATACTAAATGAACTTTACAACTTTAGGGTTGGGGGGAGGGAGAAGTTGAGGAGGTGGGGAGGGAAGAAATGATAAGGAAAAAACAAAGGAGGAGGTAACAATGCTCGATAGGAAATGTACTCATTACCTTACTCGTGTAACTGTAACCCTTCTGTACAGTATCTTTACAATAAAAATATATATTAAAAAAGGAAAATACTAAAGCTTTAGAACTTAGGTACTAAAAATGATATTTTATATTTGTGAATGTTGTGGTGCTTATATCAGTTATACAAGATGTTGTCTTTTTTGTTTCAGAAGTTGCTTTTTTTTTTGTCTTTCTTATTCTACTGTTAAATTTTTTTTCTTTTTGGTACCTTGTATTTTATTCTGTGGATTCAAAGTTATTTGTAAATATAATCATTTTCTAAATGATTAAAATCTATAAAGTTAACATAATCATAGACTTTTAGCTTTCATATATTTTGGCCAACTTTATGATTTCAAACAAAGATGTAAAAAGGTGTCTGGAGTGAAAAGCTTAGGTGGAAGGATGCAAGTTGGATTATAATGCATATTCCAAGTTTTTGTGTGTATATACACTCTCTTAAAATTTTTTCTTAGAATTTTGACTGAACTTATCATAAAAATGGTTTGAATATACTGTTTATACTCACTTAAATGTTCATGTTAATATTACCTATTAAGCTTAAGTTTTTTAAAACAAATTACTATTATAGAGATGATATACAGAGGGGCTACAATTACATTAGTCAGGTAACGAGTACATTGCTTTCATACCGTGTTGTCTGTTCCCATTACCTGCCTTCCAGCTCTACCCACGAGTTATTCATTTTCATCAATGTCCAGTGTACTCCACTGATGCATGTTTTCACGCTTTTTCCTCGTATTCTGTGCCCCCCCTCACAGATAAGTATGTGTATACACCATATCTAAGGTAAAGAATACAGAATCATCAGAAACAGAAAAAAACAAAAAACTCCTTTGTTTTCTTATCTTAGGAGTTTCAGTGTATATATTATATACATATGAAGAGGCTCTTGGGTATTGTACCTTTGAGATTCTCTCCTAAGACTATCTTCTTTTGGTCTCACTGTATGTGAGTATCTAGAATCCTGTGTAATTTGTCATATCCTAGTGCATGTTAGATCTAACTTCTGTGTCTCAGAGAGAATATGTGCCTTTTGTCTTTCTGATCTTGGCTTACCTCACCATCAAATATAAATGATAGCTTTGTTGGGTATACCAGTTTGGGTTGGCAGTTGTTGGTCTTCAGGGCTTGGATTACACCATTCCAGCCTCTCCTTGCTCTGAGTTTGTGTGGAGAATCTGATTTTTTTTTCCCCATTGTAATACAGCTCCTTCTTTGATTTTTCAGCATTTAAAATCAGTTCCCTGCTTTTTAAGTCTCATGTGTCTAGTAGTGTTTCTTCTTGGATCCTGTCTACTGGGGGTTCTGTTTCCTTCTGTCAGGTGGGTGAGATTTTATCTCTTAAGATTGGGGAAGTTCTCTGTTATTATTTTACTGGATAGATTTTCCTATGCTTTTAGTATGGCATTCTTCCCCCTCATTGATCCCTACTAGGCATACATTTGATTTCTTGTTGCTTGAGTCTGCCAATTCTTGGATATCCCTTTGGTAAGTTCTGAGTGTTTTTTTTTTTTTTTTTTAATATACCTTTGACTTTTTATTCTAGCTTTTCTGTTTTATCCTCAGCTCCTATTCATTTATGTAGACATTCCACTGTGGTTTGCAATATGGAATTGAACCTTTTATGCTTCTGAGATCATATCTTACAGTGTGAATTTTGTCTTTAAATGAGGGGGATAACATTTCTATTTTTATCTCCATATATTTTTGGGAGTCCTGGATCATCTTTGTCATTTCTTCTTTATACTCTTGAGATTGTTTTTGCATTTCCTCTTTTATTTCTTTGGCCAAATCTATCATGAATCCTTTTTTTTTTTTGCCAGTCCTGGGGCAAAAACTCAGGGGGGGGCGGCCTGCCCCTGAGCTTCTTTTGCTCAAGGCTAGCACTCTACCACTTAGACTACAGTTCCACTTCCGGCCTTTTCTGGTTGTGTGGTACTGAGGAATCCAACCCAGGGCTTCATCCATACTAGGCAAGCGCGCTACCACTGAGCCACATTCTCAGCCCTGTCATCATTTCCATAACGGCTTTTAGTCATCAGTCTCTTCTTCACTCTCACTGGGGTCCTTCCTTGGATTGTTGTTGGCTTTTGGATTTGGTTTGTTTTCCTGATTGTTCACGAATCTTGTCTTTCATTGTGATTTACATTTGGGATGGTCAGGGCTGTGGCCTGATCTTGGCCTGCTTGTGCCTGACAGGTGGTATAGCCCGTGCTTGGCCTGAGCTAGCTCACACCAGGTGAGTTAGCTCATGCTTGGCCCTTGGGCCAACAAGTGCTTGTGGGCACACCCTTGACTTGCCTCGGGCGAGTTCTCTGCCAGCTGGAGGGCGCTTGGTCTGGTCTGCAGCGGGAACTGGGAAGGCTAGATTCAGACCTCCAGGATGGGCATGCGCTTTGAAAGAGGTGGGCTCCCACGGTTGTGCAGGAGTTTGTCTACACTTGGACTAGTTGGTTCTCACCCCTTAGGTGGCCGGCACTTGGCCACTGGCTTGTGTGTGCATGCTTGGCTTGCCCCCAGGCCAGCTAGCTCTCCACCAGCAGCCGAGTGCGTGGTCCAGTCTGCAGCAGGGGCTGGGAAGGCTACAGTCAGGTCTTCGGGATGGGCATGGGGCTTCAGAAGAGGTGAGATCCGGCGGGTGCGCAGGAGTTTGTGCTGTTTCAAACTGGTTTCCCTGCTGACAGCCGGAGCTGTGGGGGATGCAGGGCCCTAGCACCCTTCTAGGGGGAGTCCTGGTGGCCTCCTGCGGGCAGCCAGCAGGTGGGGTGGGAGGGCCTGAGGCAGGGCTCTGGCCTCTCTGGCTGGCCTCTTCAAGTGCGGTGCCCCTTCTTGGGCGGGCGGGAGGGGTCTGTGGGTCCCATCAGCGCTGGATTCGCGTGGGTGGGGTCCCTGGCGGCGTACTCCCCGATCCTGGCGGTGGTTGTGGACCGAGGCCGCGCTGTGGGAGAGCTCGGGGCCTGGACGTGGCGCTGCCACACGGCTGTCTGGGCGGGCGGGCGCTGTGGGCGCTGTGCGTCTGGATGCTACCGTCCCCGCAGCCGGGGGCAGGGCCCGGGGCGGGGTGGGGGAGGGCTCCCTGCGGGTCTCCATCCTTGTGTGTTCCCCTGACTCTCTGTTTGTGTGTATACTTGTTGTTCATCTCTAAGGGAGACATGCATGGCT